GGGGGGTGGAGATTGAGAAATAAAGAAGCTATATAGATGTGTCGTAAAGTTCAAGGAGTTTTACATATAAGTATTTAGAAGAACATGTTTATATAAGAAAATTCGATAGTTATATGTTCATATTTTGGCAAAGACAGGGTTTAAGCAATATTAATTAGACTTTCCCATTTTTTCCATTCAGTATTGAATTTCAATAAAAATAATTCACTTTTATTAACAGCAATATATCTCTGAGTAAAATATGTGTCCTTGATAAGGTTCTTAAGTGCAGCTACTGACAATGACATTTGTAAACATCTCGATTTATAAATATATTGTTTTATAAGTAAAATTATGGTATTATCTACCCTACTACTGATACTATTTTGATTAAATAAACCGAAAATGAAGGTTTCCTTGTTAAAACCAAATGGGATTAACAATGCATCAAGAAGGAACTCAAAATTTTGTAAAAAATGTCTTTTACTTTCTCACATTCCCATAATGTGTGAATTATTGTCTCTATTTCAGTCTTACATTGAAAACAAAGAGCACTATGGTAAGAGCTGCTTTAACTAGATAGGAGTTTGTTGTTAAAATGTGTTGATTTATTCTGTATTGAAGCCATTGTAATTTTGAATTTCTAGTTACTGTAAAAGGAATCATATATATCAATTTCCATGTGTCATCATCGAATTCAAACAATTCATTCCATTTGTTTTTCCCAGTGAATATGGTACTATTTTGGCACAACAACTTATACAAATCTTGAGTTCCTTTTTTATGTCTCATAAATATTTCTAAATTTAAGGGTATGTATGGATAACTAATCAAAGTATTTAAAGTATCATCATTGGTCATGTAGTTTTTTTTATAGTATTAATAATGTCTTGATATGTAAGAAATTTATTTTTTACATCAAATTTTTGTGAAAATTCTATAAAACTATAGAAAATACCAGAGTTATTATCTTTTAATAAGTCATTTATAATTATAACACCCTTTTCAAACCATTGCTTATAAAATAAACACTTGGCTCCTACTGTAAAATATTTGTTATACCAAATAGGCATTTTCAATCTACTTTTCATCTCTCTTATACAATCTTCTTTATCAGCTATTTTTCTCCGTGATTGGAACTCATCTTTCCAAAAAAGGTTTTTACTAATACTGTTGTTCACGTAGCACGTGACTGAAATAATGGCGATAGCTGGAAGCATGCTAAGATAGATGTTCTATGATACTGCACTTGCTTTCCTCTGTCATCAACTAGACATAACACTCCTTTACTGCATACATTTAATTTGACACTTCAAGGCACTCAGCATATTAACGTCAATCTTACCATTACTCAACGTACTTCACTGACACTTCATGTGAGGACGTTATATTTCACATTTATCACATGCATACGAACCCTCAGTATTTGAAGAAACAGTTATGAATGATCAAGATATTCGTCAATCGGGAACTGTCGGAACTTAGCGAGAAAGTGCCGACGGTTCCCAATTGGATACTCGTTTGTAAAGTAATTGCTAGGGCAGGCCTACTAGCTTGAATAATAAACGTCGACCACGAGCAGTTATTAATCGGGTAATTTACGTCAACTGTAAATAATGTAGGATTTGGGACGTATTTTTGGTTGTGTACTGTTTGAAGTTTGAAAATAATGACATATGTAGGCTTGTGGACTGTGTGTTATAGTCAAAGGGTTTGTCTTTGATGGGGTCTTCGAGCAGCTATACCACCGAGAATGTAGGTCGATCATGATTTGTATTGCGTTGGCTGTGGAAAGTTATACGTCTGAGAATACCAACTGCGGGTAATTCAATATTGGCAACGCCCGAGAACTGTCATTGACTAAGGATTGTATTGTCAGCTCCAGCCACTTACACGGCAAACTCGGTATCTTACGTCGAATGTAAGACAATAGTAAACCCGATAACCTCCGTCGGATGCGGTACAATAGTAAACTTGATAACTTCCGTCGAATGTGGGACAATAGTAAACTTGATAACTCCCGTCGAATGTGGGACAATAGTAAACTCGATATCTTACGTCGAATGTGGGACAATAGTAAACTCGGTATCTTACGTCGAATGTAAGACAATAGTAAACTCGATAACCTCCGTCGGATGTGGGACAATAGTAAACTCGATAACCTCCGGCGGATGTGGGACAATAGTAAACTCGATAACCTCCGTCGGATTTGGGACAATAGTAAATTTGATAACTTCTGTCGAATGTGGGACAATAGTAAACTCGATAACTTCCGTCGAATGTTGAACAACAGAAAACTGGATTTTCTTACAGGGCTTTATAATTTACGTTCCCTTTTCTATTTGTGGAATAATTAGATATACACAAAATAAATGCTTTTGACTATAATTATATATGTTTTGGAAATGCCCATTAATTGATATTGCAGTAATTATTTCCGTTATTTCGTAATAAACGACTTGGTTCGGTGCGATCGTCCTTGCCCATTAGCCTTTGCTATACATAATTAACACATAAGTTTGGACAGTGATGAATGACGATCGTGTAACCAGTCAACCGTGACATCTCCGGTCCTTATACCGCTGGACTGCGGACTGAGAACTACTGGGCTCTCTCACACGTCACACGTCAAGGGTGACAGATTTACTGGTCAAGATTAAAATTAATATACGAACCATTCGTATATATGTTGATAGAAGTGCGACTTGTATGCAGGGTGAGTGTTCTGGCTTTAGTACTGTTAAAGTGCTAATGTATGACTGACAATAATTAACGTGCATTCCCCGCATAAATCAAGAAAGCGAAATGTATTACTACAGAGAGACCATCCCTTATAAGTCCATTATTGTTACGACCGTTCAATATCTCTAAGAATTGAAAACATCGACCTTTGTTCGAAACTTTTCTTTTCTAATTAACCAATGTCTGATAGGAAAACACAGCATGGACTGACGACAATGATTCTGATCGATCAAGACACATAAGGCTGATGAAATATTTCATTGTAATCTCTTTTGTTTCCGCGTTTCCATGGAAATGAATATGCTAGTAATAACCAAATATAACGCCAATGAACTAATGGACATAATGGTGAACTATCTTCTCGCTTGTTACCGAGTCGGATATTGAAGGTACGGGACAGGCAAATGTATTCCCGTCAAAAGACAAATATTAAGTATAGTATGAAAATAACATTAACAACAATGCGATGTAAAAATAGATAAAGGACTATGCATGGTTTGGATCTTTTTTGGCCCCCAAATCCATCAAAATTAAAAATCTTGAATAGAACTTTCAAATGACTATTTCTTTAATTTTGAATACTACCCCGGTACTATAATGTAAACCTATATTTGTGTTTTCAAATATGGTTGCCATGGTAACTAGTTATTATTTGCATAAATGAATGAAATTTGAATATTCAGTCAATTTTGACGGGTTTCACCTAGTTTTGCTCTTGGCTACAATAGAGCGCACTCTTGAACAATCTTTATGTTTCTCCTAAAGATGTATTACAGGTGCCTACACATTATCCTTTGGTATTTAGTTTGTTCAAGCATTCGCTCTAAAGTTTCCAGGGAAAAAACTATGCAAAATATGAAAAAAAATCACTGAATAATCACTGAATATTCAAAATTTTCTAATTTATGCAAATTTGAACTTGTTACCATGACAACAATGATAAGAAATACAAATAAATATGTTCATGATAGTGTTTCGGAAGTATTCAAAATGAAAGAAAACGTCATTTCAATGTTCATTTAAAAGTGTTGACAAATGATTCTTTCCAAAACAAAAGACAAATTATCTTAATACAGTGTAATCGAAAAGATATGGCATTAATATCATGAAAAAACCCACCTAAGAAGTAAAGAGAGCAAAGACAAATAACATAGGTAAGATGAAACGACTATACGGCGAAATAATAAATAGAAATACGAAGTCAGAAGCACCTATTTAAACACATAAGACAAATAATACTTATATGATCAAAAGACAAATAACACGTGTACAGTGAAAAGACAAATAACACGTGTTCAGTGAAAAGACAAATAACACGTGTTCAGTGAAAAGACAAATAACACTATTATAGGAACAAAAGACAAACTCGTAATCAGTAATTTGCGTTACTTACCGAGACGCTGAGCACTTCCGGCGGCCACCAGCAGCGTCAGCCAAAAAAGTTCCAAGTTCTGTAGGAAAGAAAAAGGAAATGATTTGAACGATTATACTAGTAAGTACAGCTTCACATAATACGTAAAACGTCAAAATAACTGTTTGTATGTCTATAATTTAAGGTTTGTGTTTAAGTTAAAATCAGTGTTATTACACGCATTTTCGTCGTTCCCTCAGTTCCAGTCGGAGTAAGTCCAAAATCCAATCCGGAATATCTCACGGTTTATGATAGTAATCAAGATGTCTAATTAAGGAGAATAACGTTGCATACATTTGATTTTAAGTCTGTCTTTGATCGTAAATTAGACATTACTTTCACCGTTACGATGTTAACACGACCAGTAATGAATTAAGAGTAATAGGACATTGTAGTTCACGAGAGGATTAGCGTCGCTTAGTGCTCATCACGAGAAAATTACGAGCATAATGATGATGACCTCTGAACCCACTAATATTTCACTGACAGACACCGCTTGTCATGTTCGCTATTAAAACGTGTATCGCGTTCGTTTTATTCTCTTAAAAAGTCCGATAAAAAGGTATTTTTACTGCTAATAAAAACTCATTACTGTCATACCGAACCAAGTAATGTATATCTTATATTTTTTTTTCTCATTTCAAAATAATTCAAATATTCTAAGACCGACAGAGAAAGTGCATTAGTCTGTTGAACCATATGGTATGCTACTTTTTATTTAAAAGCTATACATGCAATTGCAGGCGTATGCCGTTTTAATTGTTTCAAAGTTTGACATGTATGAAATTAATTTCTTTTCTTTAATTGATACGTGATATTCATCTGTTCGTTTTTAGTAGGATAACATGATCGAGCTAGTACTGCCCATATTTTCCGTCAATAGCTAATCGCATAAGAATTTATGAAAAAACCCTTTATTCTATTTAACGAACATAGGACATTCCCTCTTTGTACGAGTCTTGATTAGTTGCCTTGTAAGCTTAAAACGAATCGGATTGGAATTTCAGAATGTGGATTTGACATGATATTTCGATGCTAATCATAACAGACTACCATTTTGACGGTTATGCGATATCTAGACGTATATGTTGACTTCCTGTCTGAGATCGTGATTTTTTTCAGGTTGATTGACCTCGAGACTGCCAGAGTTCTTAAAAAGTACAATTAATCAATCATAAAGAGCTCTCCACGCGCTGTCACAAATTGGATGAAATGGTTTTTTATTCTTCAAATAGCCTAATAAACGTACAATTCGGTATCAAGGAGAAGTGAGGTTCAGAAAACTATTGCGTATATATATATATGACTTATAATAATAAGTTGTATTATTACGTTACGCCATAATCACAATTAAACGTGAGACCTAGAGTTATTCAATCGTGATGTCGGGATTTTTTTTGGCAAATGTTTTCAGCCACTTTTGGAGTTAGTGACACCCATTTTCCCGCAATTTGATTGTGCGTTGCAAGACAACGCTGTTTTATACAGATGTTGATTAACTTTTACAATTTGTTGTTCAAATGGTACATGTATACCCGACAAACATTCCAGCTTACGAAGGTCAAAAAGAGCCAAAACGTCAAAACATCTTCTCAAGAACTGTAAAACTAAGAGTCATCATATTTGGCTTGTATCATGCTAGAATGGAAGAGTGTTACACAACACACAGATAATTACCTAATTTACAGCCCGTTTTGTTAAAAGGGTTATCGTTTAAATTCGAGATAAATTCCTTTGACGTAATTTTAAGATTACAGACGTTCGATGCCTTTGGAAAACGTTAAATTACTTATCTTAATGAACCATAACTGTCAGGACTACATAATGCCAGACTATAGTATAGTACAGGCCCTATAAACCTCTTGGTTTTTTTATTGTAACATTTTTTACACCACTTGCCTTCGATGTTACAACAGTAATATGGATTTATTGAATAATCTTAACACAGTTATTTTACATATTTCAATATTGGCAAAAACGTAATTAATACTTGTACGGTGTAACCTATCATTAACTATACTTTATAAAACTGGTTTATACATTATCAAAAATAGTAGAGGTGGTAATGGCCCTGTTGTGAAGCCCAATTTGAAAATCAAGAGATTTTATGTACAACTATAAAACATTAATTGAAATGTTGAACTTTTAAAGTCAATATATTTTTTAGTAAGAAAATATGAAGAAAATGTGCCGAAATAGACCAGTAAACTATGACATGTAAATATGCCAAAATGGTGAAATCGGGTCATTTCTGTTCAGGAAGATTCAATCTCTCATAGTGGATACATACCTCGACTAGCCTATATTTTCAGAAGAAATGTAAATGCGTTGATCAAAAGGATTTTTTTTTATTGGAGGGTTAAAAAAACGAGGAAACTATTCATTTGTACTTCACTTTATCATTTAAGTGTACATGTACGCCTACAAGGAGTCGACAAATTCCCATCTATCTCAATACATCAAACCCTACATATATCACCAATAGACTAAATGTAACGGGGAAATAAAACCACGTGCAGGAAATAAATCTATAATCCATCATTCCACATAAAGTAAATACCAAGGTTTAATGCAAAATAACGGTATAATAATAAAATTTAATCGCTGTAGGACACGTGCCTGGCACCGAGGTGTAGTTGACGCAGCGACCGGACACCATTAGTCCGGACATAGAAAACAGACACAGAAAGTCCGGATATAGAACCAGACACCAAAAGTCCGGATATAGAAACCGGACACCAATAGTCCGTATATAGAAACCAGGAACCAATAGTCCGTATATAGAAACCAGGAACCAATAGTCCGGACATAGAAACCAGACACCAATACTCCGGACATAGAACCGGACACTAATAGTCTGGATATAGCAACCAGATACCAAGGGTCTAGATATAGAAACCAGACACCGAAAGCTCGGACATAGAAACCAGACACCAATAGTCCGGGACATAAGACACCAATACTCCGGACATAGAACCGGACACCAATAGTCTGGATATAGAAACCAGACACCAATAGTCCGGATATAGAAACCAGACACCAATACTCCGGACATAGAACCCGACACTAATAGTCTGGATATAGCAACCAGATACTAAGGGTCTAGATATAGAAACCAGACACCGAAAGCTCGGACTTAGAAACCAGACACCAATAGTCCGGGACATAGAATCCAGACACCAATAGTCCGGGACATAGAAACCAGACACAAATAGTCCGGGACATAGAAACCGGACACCAATAGTCCGTATATAGAAACCAGGAACCAATAGTCCGGACATAGAAACCAGACACCAATACTCCGGAACTAGAACCGGACACTAATAGTCTGGATATAGAAACCAGACCCCAATAGTCCGGGACATAGAAACTAGAAACCAATAGTCCGGGACATAGAAACTAGAAACCAATAGTCCGGGACATAGAAACTAGACACAAATAGTCCGGGACATAGAAACCGGACACCTATAGTCCGTATATAGAAACCAGGAACCAATAGTCGGGACATAGAAACCAGACACCAATACTCCGGAACTAGAACCGGACACTAATAGTCTGGATATAGAAACCAGACCCCAATAGTCCGGGACATAGAAACTAGAAACCAATAGTCCGGGACATAGAAACTAGAAACCAATAGTCCGGGACATAGAAACTAGACACAAATAGTCCGGGACATAGAAACTAGACACAAATAGTCCGGGACATAGAAACCGGACACCAATAGTCCGTATATAGAAACCAGGAACCAATAGTCGGGACATAGAAACCAGACACCAATACTCCGGACATAGAAATCAGACACCAATACTCCGGACATAGAACCGGACACTAATAGTCGGGATATAGAAACCAGACACCAATAGTCCGGGACATAGAAACCGGACACCTATAGTCCGTATATAGAAACCAGGAACCAATAGTCGGGACATAGAAACCAGACACCAATACTCCGGAACTAGAACCGGACACTAATAGTCTGGATATAGAAACCAGACCCCAATAGTCCGGGACATAGAAACTAGAAACCAATAGTCCGGGACATAGAAACTAGACACCGAAAGTCCGGGACATAGAAACCAGACACCGAAAGCCGGATAAAGAACCAGACACCAATAGTCCGGATATAGAAACCAGACACCAATACTCCGGACATAGAACCGGAAACCGATAGTCTGGATATAGAAATCAGACACCAATAGTCACTCCGGAACTAGAACCGGACACTAATAGTCTGGATATAGAAACCAGACACCAATAGTCCGGGACATAGAAACTAGACACCGAAAGTCCGGGACATAGAAACCAGACACCGAAAGCCGGATAAAGAACCAGACACCAATAGTCCGGATATAGAAACCAGACACCAATACTCCGGACATAGAAATCAGACACCAATACTCCGGACATAGAACCGGACACTAATAGTCTGGATATAGAAACCAGACCCCAATAGTCCGGGACATAGAAACCAGACACCAATAGTCCGGGACATAGAAACTAGACACAAATAGTCCGGGACATAGAAACCGGACACCAATAGTCCGGGACATAGAAACTAGAAACCAATAGTCCGGGACATAGAAACTAGACACCAATAGTCTGGATATAGAAAACAGACACCATTAGTCCGGACATAGGAAACAGACGAAAATAAGTTCGGACATAGAAAACAGACGAAAATAAGTCCGGACATAGTAAACAGACGAAAACAAGCCCGGACATAGAAAAAAGGTACCAATAGTCCGGACATATAAATCGGACACCAATAGTCGGGACATAGATATCAGACACCAATACTACGGATATAGAACCGGACACCAATAGTCTGGATATAGAAATCAGAGACCAATAGTCCGGGACATAGAAACTAGACACCAATAGTCCGTATATAGAAACTAGACACCAATAGTCTGGGACATAGAAACTAGACACCAATAGTCCGGGACATAGAAACTAGACACCAATAGTCCGGGACATAGAAACTAGACACCAATAGTCCG